GAAGCAGGCCTACCTCCTGTGGCCCTCTTCCTCCTCATTCCCTAACCCTTTAGCTGAAAGGAACTCCCTGAAGAGAGCCATCGATTAGCTAAAACCACCAGCATCTGCCATGTCAGAGGTCAGCTCAGATCTTCCCACAACTCACACAGCAGCACTTATTGGGATCCTTAATCCCCTCTGTCCTAAAATGGGATTTTCCACAACCCATAACTACTCTCTCTCCCTGAGTCAGTAAGGCAATAGAACACTCAAATGAAAATCTCCAAAATGACTCCTCTGCTAAAAACTGTTCTATCACCCTTTATGGCTCTCCTTTGAGGTGCTAAAACCCCAATCAAAGAGTCATCACCATCAACAATGCATCAGACTTTCTCCAAGACAGCTGCTCACAAGGGTCCATTATCCCCCATGGTGTATAATTGGGCATTGTGACTAATTCATTTATCTGCCATTCAGAAGAACACCACACAGTAAGAGTCAGTAATGCTGAGTATTGAACAGAAACATGAATAATCAAAATGTGCCCATGCTTGCAGCACCTTGATCCCCAGGATATTTACTCACTTTGAGTTTTAAAGATCAACAGGAATGTAAGAATAGCAGAGGTGGGAGCTAGGAAGCCCAGTTTCCAGAAAGCTATGAGTGACAAAAACCCAGGAGACTCATGAACTTGTTCATAATTCCATGAATCAATTCAAAAGACATTTATCAACATTTATTATTTACTGTGTGTCAGGCACAGTGTTCAGAACAAGGCTAATTTTTAAAAGCTCATTATCTAACTGGAGAAACAGACATAAGTAGCCAATGATCTTTAATAGGAAAAGTGAGAGGCAGGGTTCAAGAACAAGGAGAAGGAGCACTCACTCTCTGTGGGGGTAGAGGATTAGTGGCAGATCTGGGAAGGCTGCCCAGGGGAAGTGGCCTTTGAGTTGTGTCTTGCAGGTTGAGGGAGACTTTTTTTTTCCCCCCAGAGAGAAGTGGTGGAGAGCAACCCAGGCAGAAGGACCAGTATGCACAAAAATATTCAGGCATGATGATGATGCCAGTGGCCTATATAGAGAATTGTATGGGGCAAGTATTAAAGGACCTATGCTAAGAAAACTGGGCTCTATCCTGTATCCTATATGCAATGGGGCTGCCACATAGTGAACTTTAAAAGAGATGTTTAATCATGAGCACATGTTCGAGAAGCCCAGTGAGTGTCAAAAGGCGGCTGGATTAGGAAAGAGGAGCAACAGTTGAGAGGCTACTGCCTTAGTTGGGGCAGAGGTGAGGATGACCTCCACGGGCACTGAGAGTGGACTGGATAAAAGGACCAGATAGGAGGTTTTTCAGACATTTCAGTAGATTTCTGGTGATGTGTGGGGAACAAGGGAGAAGAAGAGGCTGATGAGAGTGGGCACCAATATGTGATGATGCCCTCAGTTGAGGAGGAGGAAGTATATTTGAGGGAGCCAGAGAAAGCAGAAATGCAACTAACATGTGCCAGGGGCCCCACATTTCCTTATGCCCACAAAGGGAATCAGCTCAGGTTAAAGGAACAGAGGCCAAAGTGGTTAAAGAGTGTACTCAGGGCCACCTAGTGCCAACCATGCCTTCCAAACCTGGGCTCTTGAAATCCCCACTGCCAAAGCTCCAGACTTTGTTAAGAGAGGTTCGGCTCACAATATAAGTAGTCTTATTCTTCACTTTCTCCTTGCCTAATAATTAGAATATCTTTCCCTATCTTTACCTTGTGAAGGAATACCTTCTGGCCTGGCTGGTGTTGTTCAGTGGTTGGAGCATTGCCCATGCACTGATTCCCAGTCAATGCCTTAGTTGGGATAGAGGTAAGGATGGCTTGTAGTTTTAATCCCCAGCTCTGGTGGGGGCACATTCCAGAGGCAACCAATTGATGTGTCTCTTTCAGGCCAATGTATTTCTCATATCGATTTCTCTCTCTCCCCACCTCCCTCTTTTCTACTCTCTCTAAAAATAAATGGAAAAAATATCCTCAAGTGAGGATTAACCACCACAACAAAAATTTTTAAAAAAGAACTCCTCCCACCATCTTTGTCTATCTCCAATATTTCATCTCTGCCTTCCAAAGTAATCCTCACTTCCTCACTTCCATTCACACATGGCATCTTTTTGGAGTAAGAATGTAGGGCAAAGGGCAAAGAATCAGAAGTGGGATCAAACTGTATTCCAAGACTGGCTTGGCCTGCCAGGTGACTTTTAGAAATCACTGGACCTCTCAGCCTCAGTTTCCTCAACTGTAGAGTGGGGACAAAAAATACTAACCTTTGCTTATCTCACAGGATTATTGTGAAGATGAAGGGAGATAAGGTGCTTGCAAACAATACCACCAAGGACAGGAAAAGGTGATACAGAATTATCTGAAGATCTGGCACCACTATCCATCAGAGTGTGAATCCCTGGAGAGCAGGGGCCTGGTGGTCTCCATCTTTAGTGCTGGGGTACCTAATTGTTCCTAATATGAGTCCGTGTTCACAAAGACACGTCCAGTTAAGAACAAGAACCACCACCACCATCAGAGCAGCACAGACACAGAAACACCACAGAGGCATCCTTGCCTCTCGCTCCCACCATACATGCAAGCAAACCTACAATTCCCCACTTTAGAAGTATTGCTCTAGTCCTGGCTTATTCCACAAACAGCCATTTCCTGGGAATGGGGGGGGGGGGGGGAACAAACACAAGTGATTGTCACATTCCCTGGATGGCTTCATTGGGCATGTTTGAACATCAAGTAGGTCTGAATTCCTCTCCTCCTCAAAAACTGAACCCCAGACTCATTCCCCTTTAAGCAGCCCCCTTCGGTCTGCCCCACCCACTGCCACTCTGTGCAACGTTTTTGTTTTTTGGTTTCTTCCCCCCTCCCTCCCCCAACAGGAGCTCAGAGCCTCTACTGCTGTTTTCATTGATGCTTTGAGCAGAGCTGGCATGTGCAACTGCTGAGAAGGGGGAGCGCAGAACCGCGGAGGAAGCAGTAAAAATAGCCTGGCGCGTGTTGCTATGCCTGCAATGGACGCCTTTAACCCTGGGATGGACGCCTTTAACCCTGGCTGAGGTGGGGAGCTCAGCAGAGGCTCCTGCACACTGAGGAACTCAACATGGGTCTGCCAACAGCTGGGTGCCAGAGCTACAGACTCTGAAGAACTTTTTTTAGGAACTGAGAGGGACAGGGTGGGGGTGGGGAGCGCGAGGGGGTTGTTTCTTGCTTTCAGCGCTCCAGCCACCTGGCAGTACGGACTGCTATGTGCTGCTAGTCCAACACTTCACAGACCCGCAGCGTTGACTCCGAGCTATTTTTAGAAACCTCTTCCGCGGGTGGGTGATCCGAGAGAGGAGAGCGGGGCTATTGGTAAGGCTAACTCTCCGCTGTGAGGCTAAGAGCCTTGCACTACACATCATTCTCAATGTCTGCTCTCTGGTGGGGAGGGGTGGGGGAGAGCAAGCATCCTGGGGATCGCACTCTATTGGCTTTGCCCTAACTCAAGGAGAGGGCGTTAGCTACTGAATACCCCACTGTTTTCAAGCCCCAGAGCGTGTTTGTTTCCAAATCCACAGTTGCCAGATGCATGCTGCTTCTAGTCTCTTAGAAAATGGAATTGTTAAAAGCCTTGCTGCCTACGCTGTGGGGGCAGGGGTTAGCTGCAGTTCAGACCTCTGGGGAAGGGTCTCTGCACCTTTTTTTTGCATCCCAGAAAGACAGAGGGACAATCCCCGCGCCACACCTTCATCCCTGCCCCAGGCTGCATATGGGTAACCATATGTGAACTGTATGGCAGCCCCACCAGACAGCCGACTATTAATAGAGCCTGGAGAGTTCACTCCCTGCCTTTCTCCTGCCGCCCAGTAAGGAATGATCACACACTTACCCCACTCCGCCCCCACCTCGGCTCACCGCTCTCCAGGAAGGTAAGGGGACTGCCCACGCTGATCCCCTTCGTGACTACAGGTGCCCAGAACTTACGGACTAATCCAGTTGTAAGGATAGCAAGGGTCAGTGCGAGGCCAGAGAACACAGCGGCTAGTATTGGGACGCAAAACCCAGTAGGGCTCTTTGCGGCTCAGGGCCAACTCAAGAGTAGAGAAAGGGCAGCTATCGGGCATCCAAAGGCGGGGGATGTGCGCAATTTGAGGAGCTAGAGCGACATTCAAAAGCTGCTACGGGATGAATGACTGCAGACCCATTTGACGCTGCAGCCCGGGGGGCGCGCAACCACCAACACCAACACCACCACCACCACCACCTTCACCACCGCCACCGTGGCTCGGGCTCCGCTGCTGCAGGAGCGGGCGCTGTCCCTGGTCCTGAAGGTGGTCGCGTCAGTGCTCCCTCCCCAGGTTTAGCGCCCCAGAGAGGGCTCTAAGATATGAGGATTTCAGACATCTCCATGGCCCCAAACTGGGCCGGATGGTCTGTTGGCGGTGCCCAAGTCCCACTGCCAACCCAGCTTTTGCCCCCTATGGCTGGGAGGTCCCCGCGGTGCTGCGGGGACCGGTAGCTCAGGGACTCGAGTTTGAAGGGTAAAGCTGAGGCAGCGCTGGAGATGGTCAAGGCACTGCAGGGAGCAGACCTGGCCCCAGGATTATCCGTCCCAGCTCTGCACAAAGCCAGAACTCGGAAGCCCTAACGGAGCAGGGGAGCGCAGCTGCCCAGGAATTGGGACTTGGGGGAAAGAGAAGCAAGCAGCGGGTGTTAGGAGAGAAAAATGGGGTGAGCGCGACTCTTGCATTTTCAAAAGGAGGGGGACCTGAGACATACACTGGCTCTCCCCCCATCCCAACACACGCGCGCGCACAGACACACACACACACTCACACACACACACACACACACACACACAGGGCTGAAGGATGGTACTGGAGAAAGTTTGGCTCTAGGTGTTGAGCGGCCGCGGCGGCAGCAGCAGCACCCACAGCGGCGGCTCGGCGGTCGGGTGGGCAGCCAGCGGGGTCGCGGGGCGCCCGGCCGCTCGCCTCCTTACCTCGGCGGCGTTCTCGGCAGCGTTCTCCGCCATTTTCCTCCTTAGGAGCAGGCAGCGGGAGGAGTGTTTCATGCCCATAAGAGCCAGCAAGGGTTTGGTGATACACAGATAGTAGAGAAAGAGAGAGCTAGTGTAGCTTTAAACGAGAGAGAGAGAGAGAGAGAGAGAGAGAGAGAGAGAGAGAGAGAGAGAGAGAGAAGAGAGAGAGAGAGAGAGAGAGAGAGAGAGAGAGAGAGAGAGAGAGAGAGAGAGAGAGAACGAACAGGAGGGAGGAATAAAAATTAAAAAAAAAAAAAAAGCCCAACCAGCCCCTCTGCCTGAGCATCAGCTGATACAATCAAGCACAGTGGAGTCTTTCCTGCAGTCTCCACTTTGTTTTATTTCCTCCCTTCTCATCTGCTTCGGATTCCTTAGCACAGTTTCAAGTTCTTCTTGCGTGCCGACCCCCTCCCTGCCCCTCTCCGCCCGCGCTGCGGCTGAGGAGGAGGGAGGCAGCCCCGAAGGCTCCGCGGTGGCGGTGGCAGCAGCAGCGCTCTCCTCGGATGCTCGCAAAGTCCGCCCGCCCGAGGCAGCCACCAACTCCTCTCAACTTCTGTGGATCTGCCGGGTGAAGCAACACGCTTCCTGCGCGTCTTTCCTAGGGGCTGAGCGGGGTGAGTGGGGGCGGGGAAGGAGGTCTGGTGGAGCAGGCTGGGCGCAGACTGAGAGCCCTCAGCGCCCCCGGCCCGCCCCCTCCGCCGGCTGCGAGGGTCTCTGGACCGCCTCCGCTCCCGGCGGCGCTGTGGACAGCTTGCACCAGGGCAAGGGCTGCGAGGACGCTGCAGGGCCACGCGGGGAGCTCGGAGAAAGCAGGCGCCGAAGCAGGACTCTTGCAGGTTCTTAGACCCGCGTCTGCGTCCTCCCACAGAGGACAAGCTCTGGGCAAGATTGGGCCATGGTTATCTTGCCCCCACCCCGACTATCCTGCTCCTCTGCCAATCCCTGGATCCCTCCTTGGGGAAAGGTTTATGGAGCAAATGGGGAAGGTGTCTGGAGGAAGGAGGGTCCTTAACTCTTTCAACTCTAAGATTAAGTATGGTGTCATGGTCTCCCCTTTTCTCCCATTCTCCCTCCTCAGGGCTCTTGGGGCTCCAAGCCTCTCTCAGGGTGAGAGGGTGGGGCGAAGGTTCAGCCAGAGGTGGCTGGGGAACGAGGGTGGAAGAAAGTCAAATGGAAGAGCCTGGTGTCCAGCTCCCCCTAACCTAATTTCCCCTGACTCCCACCCCCACAAACCCATTTCTCTTCTCCCTCTTCACCCCTTCCCCCTTGTCACCAGATTTTGAAGTCCTTTTTATGGAGAGGGGAAGGTGTCATGTACTCATTAGGATTCTCTTGATCCTTTTTAAAGGGAGTTTGGGCGGCAGCAGGGGGTGTGAATTTTTATACAATGCATTCCTGTCTTTACTTTGAGAGCTTTCCCCCCTCCCTTCTTACTGGCCATCTGTCGACTGGTGGGAATCAGAATAAGGCGCTGGGGAGAACCCTACTCTGTCTCTCCCATTACAACAGGCCACTCAAGCCGGCTCTTTCAAAGACCGCTGCACTTTTAAGCTTTCAGCCCACAAGTCACGAACAGGGACCTCAAAGATGCTCCCTGAGCATCCTGACTCTCCTCTCTTCTTCCCTGTACTTACATGGGAAAATCAGTCCTCCATGCATGTCCTATCAGTTTTTGAACATCACCTTTGGCAGCCAGGAAATGTGATCTTGATTGTCCTCAACTAACCCCAGAATCCATTGAAATGGGCCAGAATCTAAGGATGCCTTCATCACCTGGTTCTAAGGAAAAGAGAACACATTGCAATAAGTGAAGGAGGGAGAGGAAGGGATGGATAGTAAGAGAAGTGAAAAGAGAATGGGAAAGAGGCCGGAATGTGTGTGTGTGTGTGTGTGTGTGTGTGTGTTTGTGTGTGTGTGTGTGTGTGTGTGTGTGTGTAGGAAGGAACAAATAAATTAGAAGAAAGAGAAAAAAAGAAGTTAATCTCCTTAACCTTTTTCTTTCTCACACCACAGACCTGTATTAGTGTTGCGAGTGTGAGTGAGCAGAGGATTTGGCAACATCTGGTCATTCTCCTTCCCTTTCACATCCCGCCAACTTGCAGAAAATGGTAGGAGGATAAATAAGGTGAAATTTAATGACTTTAAATCTAAAGAATGAACTCCATTTTCTTTAGGTATCTTTCTCAGAGACAGCTGATCCCCTACCAGGAGAGTCTCAGTACTTGCCCAATCAAGGAAAACCAGAAAGGAAAGTATTCTCACAGCTCTTTAGCCCAAACCTCTCATTTTACAAATAAGATCATTTGTTCCTGATCCTTCAGCCAGCTATGGGAATTTCTGAGAGCAGGTCTCCAGCCTTCTGACTTCAGTCCTCTCCTCTGACCCCACCCCACACTGCCTCTGCCTGCCATTCTGTGACTAACTGGGAAGGAGGGGAGCTGAGACAAGCTCCCACCAAAATAGGCTGCTGCCTGTGCATGATTATGTTGCTATGAGAACCCCAGTGGGTGTGTTTCCTCTGTTCTCTGTTGAAATTTTTTGCTTGGCTTGGCTTCTCCCCAAGCACAGACACTGCTCCCCTTGAAATGGGGAATGAAGAGGCTGGGATGGAGAGCGGTATTCTCATGGCAAGAATTTTCTATTCCAACCCATTCAACCCAGAGTCAAACAGTGAAGTGGTTCCATCATGGCTGGAGGACAAGGGAGCTGTCTTTTTTGTTGTTAATCCTCTCCCGAAGATACACACACACACACACACACACACACACACACACATACACACACACACACACACATATATACACACACATACACACACACACACACATATATATGTGTGTGTGTGTGTGTATGTGTGTGTGTGTGTGTGTGTGTATATATATATATTTTTTTAATTTTTTTTTAGAGAGAGAGAGAATAGAAGGAATGAGGGAGGGAGGGAATAAGGGAATATGAGAGCCAGGGAAAGGAGAGGGAGAGAAACACCCACCAATGTGATAGAAACACATTCATTGACTATATCCTGCACACACCCCAACCGTACCGTGCTAGGAATCCAACCTGCAACCCAGGCACAGGCCCCTGACCAGGAATCAAACCCGTTAGAGCATAAACCAAGGCCTACCACTGAACTGTGCCATCCAGGGCCAAGTGAACTGTCTTGGAAGAGTATCTTCCAATCCTCTGTTGAGACATTTTAGAGCAGAGAGGAGTTGTCTCTGCTATGCTTCCATTTAATTACAAATTCACAAGCAAAATAATTTTTACTTTATGACACATTTTGGGGTGGTGTGTTGTTATACAGCAAAAGGTTACCTAAAAATCCATCTTTCTAGGCTTTTATAAATTGTGTGATGCATGAGACATGCTTAACACATAGTAGGTATTTTGTTGTATTTTCTTACCACCTCCACCATTCATAAGAATTCAGTCTTTTTTGTCTCTCTTGCATAAGTATATTAGGTTAATTAATTTAGTCATTCTTCAAAGAAAGGAATGCCTAGCTCTTCAGTAGGCACTGGGCTTGGCAAGAGGCAACAAAAGATATGGATTTGATCATTGAGAAGTGCTTAATTTAGTCACCTTGAATGTCTTGAAATGTACAGGACTTTTGTAGAACTATGGAAGGGATTTTCATGCGGAGCAAGAAGAAATATGAGACGGCAAGGTATAGGGAATTCAACAGGACATGAGTTAAATGGGCAGTCTGAAACAATAAGTTCTACTAAGTAAAGAGTTCCCAAAGCATATTTTGCTATGTCACTTTTCTTACACTAAATCAACACAATAAAATATATTGAATAGTACCTGTGAAGTGCTAGAACAAATCTTGGCTTATGGTAATAGCACAGATACTGTGTTAACATTTGCTAGGCCCTGTCCTAGGTTCTGACAAACTTCTAGAGCACTTATTACACCATAGAGACTCTTCTAGTTTTATTGTGCTCTCAAGCAGTCTTTCAACAGTCATTGCAGGGACAAACTGGAGGAAGGAGACTTAGAATGTCAGGTCAAGCTCCAAGGACCAAAGCCGATGCAAGAAGGAAGGCAACAAGAATGATTCAAGAGGGTCGAGAGGAAGAGACAACAACTGATCAGGAAATCATCGAGATGAGCATCAAGAGGAAGCAGGCCATATCAGCTCCTCGATCCATGGAGGTTACCAAGCAGCATCAGTATCTTTGAATCTGAGCCAGGATGCACTGGAGAAAGTGGCCAGTCAAGTCAGAGTCTTGATGGAGGCTGCTCAAGTTCAAGCCATGGAGTAAGGATGCGATATCAAGAGCGTGTTGTTACAACTAGTGGATATACTCAAAAGCGTGCAAGGGAACAAATATGGGTTGAAAGCTCTTGATGAGAAGCTTGATTCAGTTCTAGATGAGCTTAAGACAATCATAAGGATACAGCTGAAATGAAGGTGAAGATGCATCAACTGAATCTCTATTTCCTGGATTCTGTCTAAGAATCCACCCAACAGGCAAATTGATGTAGCATCATGTCTGCATCCACAGCCTATCATCTGAGAAACACATCAAGTTCAAGAGGAATCAAGCACAGGAACCTCACAACAAGAAAATACTTCAAGATCTACATTTCTTGGACTGTTTTCCTGAGCACATATAATCAAATCGTGACTTGCTTGCTTGATGATTGGCTATTAGGTGTGATCAAGCAACCTAATAATGAAAGAATCCCAAGAGCACTTATGTATTTTAACCGCTTCCAGACTTGGATATATGAGGAAGTGAGCAAATTAATTAATCATTAATGAATCATCTGACTATCTTTTCTGAGTACATAGTTTAGAGAGAAAAAAACGAGAAAAAAAAAAGTCATTGCAGTAGGTACTGTTCTTATCACTGCATAACAGATGAGGACACAGAAATCAGAGAATTGCCAAGTGGTAGAGTCCAGGTTCAAATCTAAGATGCCTTATTCCAAAGTATGACTTTCAAGAGGTTAACCAGTTTCTGGAAGCAAAGCAATGGTTCTCAACATTGACTACATAGCCAAATCATCTGAGCAGCTTTCAAAACACC